GGGGTTGGGGCGGGTGCACACACCAGCTCCAGCAGCTCCAGCTGCAGCTTCTCCACCTGCCGGTTCAGGTAGCTGTTCAGCGCGGCCTGGAACCTTAGCATCAGGGGCTACAGCAACGGCAAAGCACCGGGTTAGTGTCCGGCCCCTCCGGCCTCACAGTTCTTCTCTGGGGGGCAGGGAGGGCGGGGATGGGGGCAGGAATGGCTTCGACCCTCCCTGCGCTCACTCTGCCACCACACGGTCAGGCCCTCGAGTCTGGTTCCAGGCATTGAAGCCCGAGTTCGTGTTTTGGCAAAAGGACAGGGCAGGCGGGCGGTGGTCCTGGCACCACTGCCAGGCCGAGGGCGGCTGGCGCCCAATGGGCACTTGGCCCTTCCCAGGCAGCCACCACCTGCCTGCGGGCGAGCACAGGGCTTTCCCGGGGGCTCACCCCTCGGGCGGCCTTCCCTGCCTGCCCAAGGCGCCCCCGGGGCCCCCTGTCCCCTAATGCCTGGTCCCTGAGGCCGGCAGGGCCAGGACGGTTTGGGGACTATGAGCCTCCGAGGACAGGCTTCACAAACCGCGGCCAACGCCTGCGGAGCCCTGTTCAGTGAGCAGGTGGCGTGGGCGCGGTGCGGGCCCCGGGTGGCGTGGAGGCGGGGGCAGGGAGAGGCCGCCGTGCAGGCAAAGGGGCAGCTCTGAGCCCGGAAGGAGTTCCCTCCTTACGTGGTTGGGGTCCAAGACCACCAGGTGGGACACGTCCTCATCTGGCTCGTCGCTGCCCTCCGACCCCGGTGGCTCTGCGACCCCCTCTTCCAGGCTGAGGTGCTGGATCCTGTGCAGGAAGGAGGGCGGGGGCCCGGGCCTGGGGGACGGCCGGGACGCCGGGGCGGCCATGCCTGCGGGACAGCGAGCACCGAGGAGTTAACAGTCGCTGCCAGGCCTCGGGCCACGTGAGGGGAAGAGAGGGATGCTCCCATCGGACTGGGGCAGAGGTCTATTTTCTTTTTTCATTGATTTCCGAGAGGAAGGGAGAGACATCAATGATGAGAGAAGCCATGGACCGGCTGCCTCTGCACGCCCCCCGCTGGGGATCAGGCCAGCAGGCGGGCATGCGGCCTTGGTAAGTTACTGAAAGCCTCCAGGTCTTTGTAAGGACCGAGCGAGGGGAGGCGTCCGTGCTCCGTACACACTGTCCCTCTCGGTTAGTAATATCTTCATCTCTAGACGCACAGCGCGCAGGAAGTGAGGTCACGGGCGGGGCGTCCCTGGCCCACAAGGGGCTGGGCAGTGGCTCAGCCCGGGCACAGGGCCCTGGTACCTGGCTCCAGGGCCAAGGACGCCTCCGAGGTCAGGGACAGCTCGTCCGAGGATGGGGTCCGGCCCCTCGAGCTCGGCCGCAGGGGGTGCGGGGGGCCCCGCTGGAGCTCGTCATCGGACTCCGTCTGCAGCAAGAGCAGCCGAGTCTGAGCCCACGGGCCTCGGTCAGGGCTGAGGACTGGGTTCCACTCATTCCAGGGCTCACAAGTCAACATAATCTTTAAGGAATAGAAACTCGTTTGGACATAAAGGTCACGTGCCTGGCCCGGCCGGCATGGCTCAGTGGTTGAGCATCAACCTATGATTCTCCTATGAATCAAGAGGTCAGGGCACATGCCCGGGTTGTGGGCTCCATCCTCAGTAGGGGGCATGCAGGAGGCAGCCGATCCATGATTCTCTCTCATCAGGGATGTTTCTCTCTCTCTCTCTCTCTCCCTCTCCCTTCCTCTCTGAAATCAAGCCTACATAATAAAGGAGTAATATGCAAATTGACCATCATGCCATCACACAAAGATGGCTGCCCCCATGTGGCCACAAGATGGCCGGCAGGGGAGGGCAGTTGTGGGTGATTGGGCCAGCAGGGGAGCAGTTAGGCATCGATCAGGTTGGCAGGGGAGTGGTTAAGGGGTGATCAGGCTGGCAGGCAGAAGCGATTAGGGGCAATCAGGCAGGCAGGCAGGCAAGCAGTGGGGAGCCAGCAGTCCCAGATTGTGAGAGGGAGCCCAGATTGGTGAGGGTGAAGGCTGGGCTGAGGGATCCCCCCCCCCCCAGTGCATGAATTTCATGCCCCGGGCCTCTAGTAAAATATTTTTTTTTAAAAAAATCACGTGCCTTTTGCAAATGGTCAAAATGGAAACCGTCTACCCCATCCCCCTGGACGGGCTGTTCAGAGACCAGCAACCAGGATGCCTCACCAGTGACCACCCCCCCCTTGGCATTCAGAGCCCCGCCTTTGCTGAGCCATGTCTAACAGGATTGCCATTGGTACTTGATGTGCACCCCAAGCTCCTCACGCTGGTGACGCCCCCATGGCAGTAAGTAGCACACTGACATCAAACAGCCCTGGGGCTACTCACCGAATGGCTGAGCCTAAGTCTGGAAGCATCCTGGCCCGGCCACTCAGAGAAGCCTGCTGCCTGCTGGGCGGACTCCGAGTCCCCAGCCGTGTCCACAAGACTGGTGTCTGAGGAGGTGACCTCTATGGAGCTGGCTTTCCCCTCGGAGGACACGATTTTCACATCAGACTCCTGCTCCCCTTCCTCCTCCAGCTCCCCTCCCGTCTCCAGGGTCTCCTCGTTTTCCATTTCCCATTCGGGCGCCACTTCCCCCTCTTCTCCATCAGGCACTCCTTCCCCCTCTTCTCCTTCAGGCATGACTTCCTCCTCTTCTCCGTCAGGCACTCCTTCCTCCTCTTCTCCTTCAGGCATGACTTCCTCCTCTTCTCCATCAGGTGGGCCCTCTCCATAGGGCGGAGCTCCCCCCGGGGCTGTGGCCTCCCCATCAGCAGGCTCTGCAGCATCTGCGGCTCCTACACTGGTCTGGTCTCCGGAGGTCTCCTCCGTGGATGCCTGTGGCTGTGCAGCAGGAAAAAATCAGGAAACAAAATATAAGGGGTCTGGTGAGGTTTTTTCTTGTTTTGTTTTTATTGATTTCAGAGAGGAAGCGTGAGGGAGAGAGAGAGAGAGAGAGAAACAGCAATGATGAGAGAGAATCATTGATGGCCTGTCTCCTGCACGCCCCTTACTGGGGATGGAACCAGCAACCTGGGCACGTGCCCTTGACTGGGAATCGATACTGGGACCCTTCAGTCCGCAGGCCGTGGCTCTAGCCACTGAGCCAGACCCGCCAGGACAAAGTTTTATCCCTAACTAGGGGCCCGGTGCACAAAATTCGTGCACTGGGGGGGGGGTCCCTCAGCCCAGCCTCACCCTCTTGCAGTCGTGGAGCCCTCAGGGGATGTCCAACTGACAACTCCCATGGGGAGTGGGCCTAAGCAGGCAGCCAGAAACCTTAGCGCTGCGGTGGAAGCAGGAGAGGCTCCTGCCACG